ACCTCAAGTGATCCACCTACCTCAGCCTCCCAAAGTGTTGGGATTACAGGCATGAGCCACCGAACCCGGCCTCACAATTAGATCTTAATTTGAACTCAGATTGTAAAATCAACCCCCATCTGGCGGTATTTGATTTAGAGGCTCTGTTGTAGCAATTATTTAAAGAGGAAAGGTGCTAGATGTGCCCATTATCAGCACAGAAAGATTATATGTCCTAGCCCCAGCTCTTCAGCTTGGAATCATATTTCCAGTCCTGTAAAACTTACATAGAAATGGTGAAGTGAATTATACCTGTAAGAAGCAGTGGCACTGCATGGTGGTAAACAGCATAGACTATGAAGCCAGAAGTCTGGCTCCACTGCTTGTTAGCTTTGTGACTGTGGGAGCTTTCCTTAACCTCCTTCTTCCCTCAGTTTTCTTATGTGTAAAATGAGGGTAACAATGGCATCTACCTCATAAAGTTTTTTGAGTATTAAATAATATTTATAAAGTACTTAAATAATATATAGTGCATGATATGTGTTAAATCAATAAAGTTTAAGTCCATCTGGACTTAGGATGTAATGTTTGCAGTAATTTGACATATGAAAGAATCCAGCAGATTAATTTGTGATTCTCATTTAAGATATGGTCTTGAGTAATTGGGTTTAGATTTGATTATTAGTTTAAGAATGCCAGAAAACTTTGCTAAGTTTGAAAAGTGTTGTAATATTTAGGACCTTTTTATGTGCACTATATTTATAAGTTTAATTTTTTAAACATCTACCAGAGCTTTTTGAGTACTTACAGATTTGCTTGGTAGGCATTTGAAGTGCTAACATAGGAAAAGAGCATATATTAAGCTAAATGTACTGAAGATGTTTGATGGGAATGCCAAATTTAGGGGATTCATGTTTTATATTTAAACTGGAGGTGGGTACAAGAGTTTTTATTATATGGTTCTTTAAATCTTTTTATATGTAGTACATTAATATTTTTAAATTAGGTAATTAGGCTGATACAGTTACAAAAATATTTAAGGGTCTTTAGACTGTTAATATACTGAACTTAAGGTCTTAATGTAAATCCAAGTAACTCATATAGTCTTTTATGTGCACAAAAGCTGTCTTTCAACGTAAGTTATATTGACAAAAAAGTTCTGAGGGTAGTAAGTTAGGAGTGTCAAATAGAGGAGACAGGAAAATTTATCCAAGCAATTCTAATCTTGTCATTCTGTCATTGTACTTTTATCTGTCAGCTTGTTAGCCTGGCCTGTGATTTGTAGAGAAGAAGGAAGGAAAAGGGAAGTGGAGTCAGAGGAGTACCAGCTTTCCTGTGGAATTGTAATGCCTTCTTCTCTCCTACTTCTCTTGTTACGATTTTTTTCCAAGGTAGAAATGAGGAACAGAAATAGTCCTGTCCACAGATATCCTTTGAATTTTCTGCCTTGCCAAGCTTGTGTAGTTTTTTGCCTTAAATTCTATTTTGTAGGCTATTAATATAGCTTCACCAACTCTCTTTTGGGTATTTGCCCCTTTTCCATCCTTCGCCATTTTTCTGTTGTGTTAGTTTCATGTATTTTCATAACCCTTGTGGAGTATTATGATAACAACTCTTCGTAGTCTGTTACAGATACAGTTTTTCAAGTCTCTTGTCTTTGTTTACAGGATCCTTTGCCATACAAAAGTTTTTAAGTGTTTTGTGGTCAGATTTGTCTTTCTCATTTAGCTTTTGGGTTTTGGGTCTTGATTAAAAAGGCTTCCCAACCCCTAGATTGTAATCTCCTTGAACATTCTTGGAAAAGAATATTGTTGTGATTCAACTTTTCATCCATGAAATGAAAAGATGATACTGGAACAGCAGTTCACAGACATCGCCAGTCAGTGGGAGATCACTTGAGGAGTGTGTCACAAATTCAGATTCTCCAGACCCAACTAAAGACATATTGAATAAGAATCTCTGGGGAATGGGGCCCAAGAAGATGTTTTAACAAGTTCCTCTCAGTGATTCTGATTATCAGCTGGATTTGAGAACCACTGGACAATATGATCACTGAGGTCTCTTCTGATTCTAAAATATCACTTCTGTGTTATGTAACTCTTAAATAATACATTATCTCAACAACTAGATTGTAAGCTCTTTGAAGGTGAGCAAGACCGCGTCTTAGGTAATACCCTTTTCTTTGCCGTCAGCCCACTAAGATCCTTACTACCTCACTCCTAGACAATTTAAGTAACCTCCTCTTATAGCCCCCTCCAGTCTGTTTATGGTCTTAGTTATCTTAAAGCAACATTTTGAACATGACACCTTCCTGCAGAAGCTTTGGCTACAAGACAAAATCCTATTTTACCTTATAATCTAAGTGCCTCTGTAAACTGGCCCCAACTTTTCGTCTTTAGCTTTACCCAAGGTAGTGTGTACAACTATCTAAGCTGTGCTTTATACAGCTCCTTAGATGACGATGTGCATGGTCTTCCCTGGAATTGTATGATATGGTAGTAACCTTGATTTTTCCCACCCTTTTGCATTAATCCTTCACTCTAGCCTGATTGGTTTACTTTCTCTTTCATATACTAATAAAGCCTTGTTTATTCTTATTTACCTGCCAGTTATTTGTCATTCATCTTGCCTGGAATGCCCTTTTTCCCTTTTCTGTATCTAATCTCTGCATATTAATAGCTACACAGTGGAGTATTACGCAGACATAATAAAGAATGAGGAAGATCTGTATGAACTCCCATGGAGTGATCTCTAGGATATACTGTTAAGTAATATAACAAGGTACAAAATAGGGTATTTTATTTGGTAGAATATGGTATTCTATCTTTTGTATAAGAGAAAAAAGGAGTTAAGAATACATGTATATACACACATGTATTTGCTTATATCTGCAAAGAGAAACATACAAAACATGCAAGATAAACTAACAAAACCAGTGCTGTATTTTGAATGTATATGTCCCTCCAAAATTGTTATGTTGGAACTTAAACCCCCAAGGTGATACCATTGAGAGGGGAGACCTTTAGGAGGTGATCAGGCCTTATAAAAGGGGATTGAAGGAACCTAGCTAGCCCTTTTCCTTCCATCATGTGAGGATGTCTAGACACAATCATCTTTGAGGAACAGGACCTCACCAGACACCCGATTTGCTAGCATCTTAATCTTGCTTGGATTTCTTAGCCTCCAGAACTGTGAGAAAATATATTTCTGTTCTTTATAAATTACCCAGTCTCAGGCACTTTGCTTATAGCAGCACAAATGGACTAAGACAACTGGTTATCTGCAAGGAATAAATAGGAACAGATTGAGAGGGAAAGGGGGAAGGACAGAGACTTCTCTGAACATTCCTTTTTTATGGGTCTTCAACTTCTGAACCGTGTAAATGTTTTACATATTCAGGAAATACATTTTAAAAATAATGGAAAAATGCAATAATTGAATATAAAGGGAAACAAATGAACCTACCTTACAGAACATACAGAGAAAAAATATACAGTAACTTTTGAATATAGCATGCTGACTATATCCTTAGTGGGATATGCTTTAAGGACAAAAAGAACTGCCCCCCGCGATCAAAACACCTAAACTTACTAGGTTTATTGTTACTAGTAATTTGACATTATAATTCTGAAACTAGTCTATGAATCAAGAATTTCAATGTGAGGGAAAAGATACACTAATATAAAATGAGTTAGGAAAAACCAGTATTAAATTTGAACTGAAAATATCAGTATAAACTCGATTGACGAATGAATGAGAGAGACTAGGTCTTGCTCTGTCACCCGGGGTTGGAGTACAATAGCATGATAATGGGTTACTACAGCCTTGACCTCCCAGGCTCAAGTGATCCTCCTGCCACAGCCTCCTGAGCAGCTGAGACAAGTGTACATCATCACACACCCAGCTAATTTCTTATCTTTTGTAGAGACTCAGTACTTTTGGAATATGGTAGCCTCTTACTGTGAGTTAATAATAGTACTAGAAGGAGGTCTTGTAGACATTTTAGATTTCCCCCATCCCCCTCCGTTTCCCTTCCCCCAACCTTCATCCCATTTTAACCTATTCCCAGAAATTCTGGGTGTCACCAGACAGCATTATGTGCAGCAAAACAGAAAACCTGCTTAATAGAAAACATTAGCAGAGTTCTCTAATATTAGCATGCATAAAGAAAAGCACAATGAAACTAGACCAAGTGGTTTTCACATAAGAACAGACTGGAAGGGCTAGGATTTTTCAGTTTGGAATGAAGGTTTGGCAAAGATATAATTACTTCTTAAGTTTGATTATGGGGTATGGGTTATTTACCATGGGCAAATTAGCTTATTTACCAAATTCTGTGGCATCCTACTTCATCTTCACCTTCCACTTCCTACACAGAGTGGAGATATGGTCCTAAGTATAAATAAGGGTACTGCCTTTTAAAAGATCATGTCTTTGCACTATTAACTTAAGAAACGGTGGCTCACGCCTGTAATCCCAGCACTTTGGGAGGCCGAGGCGGATGAATCACGAGGTCAGGAGATCGAGACCATCCTGGCCACCATGATGAAGCCCCGTCTGTACTAAAAATACAAAAAGTAGCCAGGTGTGGTGGTGCGCACCTGTAATCCCAGCTACTTGGGAGGCTGAGGCAGGAGAATCGCTTGAACCGGGGAGACGGAGGTTGCAGTGAGCTGAGATCGTACCACTGCACTCCAGCCTGGGCAAGAAGGGCGAGATTCCGTCTCAAAAACAAAAACAAAAAAACAGTATGAAAGCATTATGCTTTTGAGATACATCAATATTATTGCCCCCACCCCATTCCAACTAGTTTTTTTTTTTTTTTTTTTTTTAAATCTGAGTAGCTCAATGGTAGGATATTGAATTTAAGGGAATAGTGATCTAGGTAAATATCTTGTTCAGAAATAATTGACTAGGAGAAATTGCAAATAAGAAAATATATAAATTTATTATCTACAGGTTATTGTGGATTCATACTCAAGATGACTGTTCTAGAGAGAAACCAGTGCATTCTTTTTTAGGTGCAAGGAATATGTGGAGATAATTCCACTATCAAAGACTGTATGTAAATTTTCCAAGATGGATAGATGATGGTGCTAAAACTGTTTTGCTGTTCCAGGTCAGTAAAATCAAGATTCAACAAACTATGGGCCTTCATGGGAAGCCTGTGAAATAAATAATAAAATATATACTCTTAAAATATATAGCTCTTTAGAGTGTGTAAAATGCTTTCACAGAATGTATGGAAGTGAAGCATAAACTGGGCTTGCTGGATGTTAAGTTTTCTTTGCTTCACAGCTGTATATTCTGGGTTCCATTATTAATATATTTTTTAACTCTTGCTGCTTTTCCAAAGCAGTCTCTTCAGTTACTGTTAAGCTATAACAGAGGGTGGTGAACCTTTGGTTCTTTCACATTGCTGTGACCTTCAGAGTTCTGTTGATCAAAAAATAGTTTTGCAGCAATAGAGAATTATATTGTTGTTGAAGTGTTTTGTTTGTTTGTTTCTTTTTTTTTTTTTTTTGAGACGGAGTCTCTCTCTGTCACCCAGGCTGGAGTGGTCTCGGCTCACTGTAATCTCCGCCTCCGGGGTTCAAGCAATTCTCCTGCCTCAGCCTCCTGAGTAGCTGTGACTACAGGTGCACACCACCACACCCAGCTAATTTTTGTATTTTTAGTAGATACAGGGTTTCACCATGTTGGCCAGGATGGTCTCAATCTTCTGACCTCGTGATCTGCCTGCCTCAGCCTCCCAAAGTGCTGGGATGACAGGGGTGAGCCACTGTGCCTGGCTGTGTTTTGCTTCTTTTCTTCTTTCTTTTTTTTTTGAAACAGGGTCTTGCTCTGCTGCTCAGGCTGGAGTGCAGTGGTAAAATCACAGTTCACTACAGCCTCGACCTCCTGGGCTTAATCATCCTCCCACCTCAGCCTCCCAAGTAGCTGGGACTACAGGCATGTGCCACCACGTCTGGCTAATTTTTAAATTTTTTTTAGAGATGAGGTCTTACTGTATTACCCAGGCTGGTCTTGAACTCTCAGGCTCAAGAGATCCTCCTGCCTTGGCCTCCCAAAGTTCTGAGATTACAGGTGTGAGCCACTGCGCCTTGCCTTTTTTTCTTTTTTTCCCCCCTTCAGTCTGTTCTGAGGACCAAGATTCATTTGCGGGATGGCTACAGAAGTGAACCAGGGTAGGCAATGAAAATATCATTCAAAGTTGAATGAAGCATCCATGCTGGAAAGGGAATAGAAACCTTACTATTATATTTAAACTGCCTGCTCTGGTTTGTTGAAGAACTCGGTGTCAGTTTGCTTCTTAGGTTCCATAGGTCAAGAGATTTTTGTTCCATCATTCTGGGATTTTAGAGGAAATAGAGTTTATAGGGGACTTTGGGAAATGCTGGTTAGGTGCTATCTGAAAGTATGTGCCATTAAACATTAATCCTGGGTTGGGCGTGGTCTCTCACACCTGTAATCCCAGCACTTTAGGAGGCGGGTGGATCACCTGAGGTCAGGAGTTTGAGACCAGCCGGGCCAACATGGTGAAACCTCGTGTCTACTAAAAATACAAAAATTAGCAGGGTGTGGTGGTGGGTGACTGTAATCCCATCTACTCGGGAGGCTGAGACAGGAGCATGGTGTGAACCTGGGAGGTGGAGGTTGCAGTGAGCCGAGATCACACCATTGCACTCCGGCCTGTGCAACGAGTGAGAGACTCTGTCTCTGAAAAAAATAAATTTCTTCCTTTTCTTTTTTTTTTTTTTTGAGGCGGAGTTTTGCACTTTCACCCAGGCTGGCTCACTGCAACCTCCACCTCCCAGGTTCACGCCATTCTCCTGCCTCAGCCTCCTGAGTAGCTGGGACTACAGGTGCCCCCCACCACGCCCGGGTAATTTTTTGTATTTTTAATAGAGATGGGGTTTCACCGTGTTAGCCAGGATGGTCTCGATCTCCTGACCTTGTGATCTGCCCACCTTGGCCTCCCAAAGTGCTGGGATTACAGGCGTGAGCCACTGCGCCCGGCCCTGAAGGATTTCTTGAAAAAAGAAATTCTGAAACCAAATCCATTTGGGAAAACTCTGCAAATTGAATCCTCTCTTGGAGTTCCATAGTACACTCTGATCTTATTCATCAAAGCATTTGTTTGTTATAAACAACTTAAATATTCATAGGGAGGAGAGTAAAATTGTATTAGTAGAATATTATACAGCCCTTAAAAACAAATGAACTAGATCTCAATCTTCAATCATAGATGGTTCTCAAGAACATTTAGAAAAACATTACAGAATGAGAATGATGCGTATAGTGTATAATTTGTGTGTTTTTAAAAAACTATATTCTTTCCCCAGTATATCTGTATAATAAATGTGCATTTTAATAAAGTCTAAAAGGATTCATACCAAGTAATGATAGTTACTTGGAGAAATGACTGGGATTGGGAATGATGATCAAAAGGTCCTTTTTCACATTATCTATAAGGTTTGAATTTTCTTGGGAATATATCTGTGTATTACTTATAATAAAAATTAATTAAATGCAAATACCTTTTAAGTGCTGAGAAAGTTACTTTATTTTCCCTCACTGGTGATACCTACCCTGCTAAACGCCAAGTACATCCATTTATTAATTCACCATATACAAATTAAACTGATTTTGGAGCCCTGGTTTTATAAACTAGGACATTTTTTATTCCATGATAACAAAATGATTTTCTTACATTATGAGATTAAATTAAGTGGCTTATACAGTCTAGTCCATGCAAGTTCTCAAGAGGCAGGCTTAGTCAAGCTTATTGTGTGTTGGTTCAAGAGATCTTTTCGAGTGCAACAAAGAGAAGTTTGAACTTGGTTCTTGAGCAGCTAGAGGAGCTGTAAGTAGATTGGAACATTATGGTTTAAAACCAGTTAAGATTAAAGAAGCAGACCGTCTTTGGTAATGTTCTTTCCAATTCCATGGACCTCATTCTTTATCTTATTCTCTAGACTTGATTTTGACATCTGAGCCAAACTTGAAGGCATTGGTGGTTCTGTTTGACTTTACCAGTCGCCAAGCATCAACTTTAAATGACTGCATTTTTGTAATATAAATACTTTTTTTTAAGAAAGGATAATTGTGAAAAAAGCTGTAGTCACATTGAAGGTTTTCTATCAATACATTCACTTTATTCCTTCAATTTGCTTTATAAGAGCCATTGTCTGAGAAAGATTTCATCAACTGAAAGTATCTCTTCTTTAGCATGATTTATTTTCAGGCGTATTCCTCTATCCATCTTATCAAAGTGGTCATTTTTACATTTCATCTAAGTGAAAACTTGGACCAGGGCATAAACTGATCAATTTTATGCTAAAAATATTTTAATATACATTATGAAGGGATTCAAAATTTAATTTACATTACAGATATCATGTTTATTTTTTATAGATGATTATTGGCACCTACCACATGCTTGGTATGCCAGGAAATTCAGAGTATTAAAAAGCATTACTGCCCTTAGTGAGCTTCCTGTTTCCTAAAATATTATTACGCATGTAATCCATATGCATACAAATTACTGATGATTTAAGATGATTCTTCCACCAGAATGCCAGTGGAAACTTGTACAGTGTAAACTGTGAAAGTGTTAAGTAGAGTGAACTTCAGGAATATTTTGAGTAGTTTAGCCACCATCGAGGATGGAGGGGTTGCAGGGCATGATTAACCAGCAGAAAGTTATGAAGACCCCTGTGTGGCTGCTGTGGCGTCTCCATCCTGCCTGATCATTGGGGGTCTTGCACGTGGCAGTTACATAGTGTGTGTTGGTCATGGGGACTTTGCACTGCTTTCGAGAGAGATGAATGATATGATTAGCTTTGTAGTCAGTGTGATTCTGAGGTGGGGTTTCGGGATTGAGCATAAGGTATACAAAGTGAAAGAGAGAAAAGAGGAGATAAAAAAGGAGAACTTGAGCACTACAATCAGAATTAGCTTTTTTCTTCAGCTCAGATGATTCTCATACTGGCTTTAAGGTTGTGATTGTTTTTTAATATCCTAGTGCTTAACTGTTGCAAAAGCATATGTGTCAATTTAGAAAAACATAGGTTTTCTTTAGTTGAAATTTGAACTCCCTGCTACCCTATGTCTCTGTAATGTGAATACCACAAAATTATTGGACCACCATTTAATGTAGAATTGATCATGAATGTGGCCGAAGTCAGTGAATTTGATGTCTGTTCATGGATAAAATTATTCCCTGGTAACAAGTTTATCTGCATTCTTAGTGATTTGATAAAGACCATTTAAATCAGCCCAATTCCTATTAATCTAAAAATCACAAAAATGTGTAAGATACCTGTTTCTCCTGAGAACAGGAATGCTAGCTGTCAGTTTTCTAGTCTGGCTTTCATATCATGGAAGTCCTTAGAAATCTGTTTTTTGAGTTCTAAATCATGCATATTCCTGTGTTCCAGGATTTCTCTCTGATCAAACGGACAGTTCAGGACTCAGAATCTAAGAATGAATGTTCACCGTGGCAGTGACAGTGACAGGTTATTGCGGCAGGAGGCCAGCTGCTTAGTGGATGATACTTCAGTTGCAGCCCAAGAAAAAGAAGCAAATAGCCTGGCTTCATCTGGTCCTCATAATCTTACTTATCCTCTAGGTCCCAGGAATGAAGGTACAGTGATTAGCTCTTGACTTAATTTGGGGGGCTTTCCAATACCAAAGCAGCTACTCTACCCAGAAGGCATGAATGTGTTTAATCTAAATAAATTATCCAATTAATTGCTTAGCTTGCATATCACAATTATATAAAGCTGACCTTCACAGAAAATCTCCACTTATTTAATCAGTCTAGCACATCTAATGTGGTGATAATGGTATTAAAACAAACAAACAAACAGCCATAGGTTTGGAGTCAGAAGACATTCAACTTCTAACTCTGCTGCTTATTAGTTGTAACCATGGATGAGATCCTCAGTCTTTCTGAGCCCTGCTTTTTCTTTTTTCTTTTTTTTTTTGAGATGGGGTGTCACTCTGTCACCCAGGTTGAAGTGCAGTGGCGTGATCTTGGCTCACTGCAGCTCTGCCTCCCAGGCTCAAGTGATCCTCCCACCTCAGCCTCACGAGTAGCTGGGACCACAGGTGTATTCACCACACCCAGTTAATTTTTTATATTTTTGGTAGAGACAGGATTTCACCATTTTGCCCAGGCTGGCGAGCCTCACATTCTTAATCTGGAAAACAAGGCTATTAATATTCTATCTAGGCCCGGTGCGGTGGCTCACACCTGTAATCCTAGCACTTTGGGAGGCCAAAGTAAGTGGATCACTTGAGGTCAGGACTTCAAGGCCTGCCTGGCCAACGTGGCAAAACCCCCATCTCTACTAAAAATACAAAAATTAGCCGGGCGTGGTGGCAGATGCCTGTAATCTCAGCTACTTGGGAGGCTGAGGCACGAGAATCGCTCGATCCTGGGAGGCAGAGGTTGCAGTGAGCCTAGATCACACCACTGCATTCCAGCCTGGGCAAGAGAGCGAGACTCTGTCTCAAAAAAAAAAAAAAAAAAAAGAAATTATTCTTACCTCACAAGAATAGTAGATTAACAAGTTAATAGATGTGAAAGCTCCTAATAAACTGAGATTCTTTTTAACTTTTAAGTAAAACAATAGCACCAATAATAGCAACTACCATTTATTGAGCATTCACTGTACTAGGAACTTTACATACATTCTTTTGATCAGGGGTGGCAAACTGGTCAAATCTGTCTGTTTTTGTAAATAAAATTTTAATGAAACAGCCATCATGTCCATGTTGTCTATGGCTGCCTTCCTCCTACAGTAGTGGCAGAGACTGACCACAAGCTTTTACTTTGTGGCCCTTTATGGAAAATTTGCTGACTCTACTTCAGATTAGTCCTTACAACTATTATCCTTGTTTTACAGATGAGGAAACTGAGGCTTAGAAAGCTTAGGTAACTTGCCCAGGTTCACATTGCTAGGAGGTAGTGGGCTGAGATGATTTCTATATGTGTATTAACTGACAGAAAAGCATATGACTGCCGTCAAAGAGTACACCATTAGGGAGAACTTGTACAAGGAGTCTCTCTTCCTACTCACCCATTTAAGCAGGATAGAACCTGAGGTTTCTTCCTTGGGTTTAGGAATAAACCCATTTTAATTGCTTCATTATTGGGGAGAAATCAAGCATTATAAGGAACTGAATTAGTAATTCAGGTATCTATTTCCTTTTTTTTTTGAGACAGAGTCTCGCTCTGTCGCCCAGGCTGGAGTGTAATGGCGCAGTCTTGGCTCACTGCAAGCTCCGCCTCCTGGGTTCATGCCATTCTCCTGCCTCAGCCTCCTGAGTAGCTGGGACTACAAGCTCCCGCCACCACGCCTGGCTAATTTTTTGTATTTTTAGTAGAGACGGGGTTTCACCATGTTAGCCAGGATGGTCTCGATCTCCTGACCTTGCGATCTCCCCGCCTTGGCCTCCCAAAGTGCTGGGATTACAGGCGTGAGCCACCGCGCCTGGCCCAGGTATCTATTTCATTTTTAATAAACAGCACCTCAAGTGTGAAAGCCTATCCTGGTGAGCCAAGTGTTTCTTGCGACAAGCTTGCCTGTGGGTTACCTGGAAGCATAGCTTTTGGTGTGCAACCATGAGACCACATTGAAAGTTTATGAGAAGCTATGGGATGTGAACTCTAAATAGGTTTTTGGTCTATATTTTTGTTGCCTTTTATCTACAAACAAATGGGAAAAAAAACTAAGTGTCTTGTGCCCAACAATTTATTTGGTTGTCTTGAGTGTAGGAAATCAGACTAATTTCCCAGAGGTCATGGGCATTAATCATGTTCCTGAATTTGTTTACAAATTTTATAAACATGACAGGTGGGAGTAATTCAGTTGTATTGATAACATTTTTTTCTTTTTTCTTTTTTTTCAAAAAGGGCTTGAAGAAAAGGTAGAAAAATGTTAACAAATCTTACCAAATGTAGGTGATAGGGCTTATGTATTAAGTTTGTGCTTTCCTATGTTTGGAATTTTTCATTAAAAACCTTTTTTACATTAAAATAAAATAGGGCTGGGTGTGGTGGCTCATACCTGTAATCCCAACACTTTGCAGGCCACACACCCGGCCTATTTTTAAGTGCTCTCACATCCTTAATTTCAGTTTATAATTGAAACAGCCCTGTGAGGTAGATGGAGTGAACATTATTTATCCTCATTTTATAGATGATGGGCCAGGTAGAAAAATTAAATAAATTAACTGGCAAGGCACGGTGGCTCACGCCTGTAATCCCAGCACTTTGGGAGGCCGAGGCGGGCGGATTGCGAGGTCAGTAGATCGAGACCATCCTGACTAACTTGGTGAAACCCTGTCTCTACTAAAAAATACAAAAAATTAGCCAGGCGTAGTGGTGGGCGCCTATAGTCCCAGCTACTCAGGAGGCTGAGGCAGGAGAATGACGTGAACCCAGGAGGTGGAGCTTGCAGTGAGCTGAGATTGCACGACTGCACTCCAGCCTGGGCGACAGTGTGAGACTCCATCTCAAAAAAAAAAAAAAAAAAAAAAAATTTAAATAAATTGCTTAAAGAAAACAGCTTTTTGGTGATACTGAGAAACAGATTTTACGAATGAATCCTAATGTCATTTGCACTGGAACTTCTCTGCTGAGAGTAAGACCTGCCTTTTTGAAAAAATAGTGTAGGTGATGTTAGGATTCTCCTGTACATAGTGAAAATGCCTTTTACTGTGAATTTCTAGGAAAAGTAATATATTGGAAAATTAAAGACTATCATTATCCCTTCTGGGAAATAAATTTTAAAACAATTTTGAAGAATTTGACAATGAATAGTTTTGGCACATATTAATAGCAGGTTCCTTAAATAAAACACAGGAAATATAAAAGTATTATTTAGCAATAGAAGTGAAAACAAGTAAAAAGCGACTGTGTCTGAACCAACACCAGGGAAGGTACAGAGAATAGCAGGGGAGACTCATGGGCCTCCACATAAATTCTTCTCTACTGTTTTTCTTAACCATATACATAGTTTACTTTAGAAGATTTAAATAATGTTCAAGTGTGAGCATTCTGCCTTCTTCCCCTCCCTCCGCCAACCCTCACGTGTACATGGAGGAGATCCAATATGAGTCTCTAGTTTGTTTGCTTGCTTTTTACTAGCTGTAGGCAAGAGGTTTTTTGCCTGTCAACACCTAAAATTTGGGAGTTTTTTTGTGTGTTTGCTTGTTGTTTTAAAGAAGACAGGGTTTTTCTCTCAAGGCTTTTGCTCTCAAGTTGTTTTGGTTTCTTTGTATGTTCTTTTAGACCTCTCGCTTGACTATGCCTCTCAGCCAGCAAATCTTCAGTTCCCTCACATAATGTCCCTTGCTGAAGACATCAAAGGTTCTTGCTTCCAAAGTGGGAATAAACGGAACCATGAACCTTTTATTGCTCCAGAAAGATTTGGAAACAGTAGTGTGGGCTTTGGCAGTAATTCCCATTCCCAAGCACCAGAGAAAGTGACGCTTCTTGTAGATGGCACACGTTTTGTTGTGAATCCACAGATTTTCACTGCTCATCCGGATACCATGCTGGGAAGGTAATTGATAATTTTCTTCCAGATTCCCTCTGTTCTCTATAAATAGAAATACCTGCTGTTTATCTTGCATTAGATATAACAATAAAAAGCATTGTATAGGCTGGGCGCGGTGGCTCATGCCTGTAATCTGAGCACTTTGGGAGGTCGAGGCAGGCAGATCACCTGAGGTCGGGAGTTGGAGACCAGCCTGGCCAACATGGTGAAACCCCATCTCTACTAAAAATACAAAAATTAGCTGGGCGTGGTGGCAGGTGCCTGTAATCCCAGATACTCAGGAGGCTGAGGCAGGAGAATCGCTTGAACCCAGGAGGCAGAGCTTGCAGTGAGCCAAGATTATGC